TAATAATAATAATAATAATAATGATTTATTTTCCATTAAGACAGTATACATGTATAGGATTCGTCACATACTTAATTTAACATAAAAAAAAATGTAGAAATGTAGAATTCATTTAATTATTTTTCAAAATGTATTCAAAATTTCATATAGGGCCAGCGGAAGGCGCAAGCCATACAAGCTCCTGCTTGAACCGTCAACCTGGTAGGGACACCAAGGAAATAGTTTTAGAGGTAAATATGCTTTAATATTTGATAAGAAGTTTTCGAAAGAACTGTGGCTGGTTTCATTTGATGAAAGAAAAAACTATAATAGCATTATAAAACCTGATAAGATTCAGGTTTGTATACTTTATACTAATAACAATAACAATAATATCTCTACCCCCTCATTCTAACTACGAGAATTAGCCCAGAAGTAGGACTTGTGCGGGGGAGGAGGCGGCATATTATTATTATTATTAAGCAGGCCGCATTTGCGCCCAGGAACGACTTATGTTGGTAGGCCCTAACCACCATTCACTGCAGGAATGAGGGAAATCTGTAAAACCTCATTAATTAGGGGGGTGGTCAAATGCCAACCAGTGTCAATCTCTCACATTGACCCAAGCCAACATTCTTCCACCCTACCATACACACAGAGGCACAGAGGGTGCCAATCCTCCGTACAAGCATAGCTAATCTACGGTCTACCGGACGCAGGAATCGAACCCGGGCAGAATTAGCACACATTGATTAAAGTACTGATGCCTTAAACTCGACCGGTGAATCTATTGACATATATTTTTTAAACTTTAATACCTTGTATTTTCAAATAAAAAGTTGCATTAAAAAAAAAATGTAAATCCCATAAGCTGTCCTCATACCTGTACCACTGGTTTGTCGAGACTTAATTTTTTAAGGTTTTATTGTCATATAATTCAAGTACTATGCACACAAAATTTCATTTCAATATTTTCATTAATTCAGAAGATATTCAGACATCTTATTTTTTTAAATTCAACCTGTATCTCAAAAATGAACACTGCAAATATAAATGTTTATGTAATATATTAAAATTTGGACCTGGAACAAATTCCATTTTTTAGCATGTTGTGTTATATTATACGACTGGATGTAGGATATACTCTATAAAAATTGATTTGAGTAATGAGTAATAAAATATGCACAAACCTGATTTAGTATCATGGTGTGATGATTTATGCAAGTGTGGATCCTTCCCATCGTCTCTTATGACCTTCTTTGGTTCGCTATCCTAAAATAGAAGTTTTTCTATAAAATATTCTCATAGAAAATAACTTGCAAAATAACATACAAAAGGTGAATTCTGCATAGCTGGTGGATGAGTTATATTATCGGGTATGGCCATTACTTTATCTTTTAATCTGGAAGGACAAGCCTCGAAAATTACTAGAAATTCCTCAGTAAGTTGCTGAAGCAGTTCTGCAGTAACAGTCGGATCCACATACGAGTACCATTCTTTCTTTTCATTTGACAATGGAATTTCCCAATTTGACCATTTACTAGCCACAAGTATGCAAAAGCAAGCTACTACGGTGGGTTTATATTGAATACACATTGTCGTTAAGTGTAAGCTAAAATGTATATTTTGCTTAAAAAGTCCTAACGAATATTCATATTACCTTACCTATTACTTGCCATAAAATATGATGTCTGAGCTAAATCCTTACTAGCTCTTACTAAATGACAGCACCTTACAACGTGAGTGTGGGGATGATCAATGGCGACATCAAATCCTAAGGTTTGCAGCAGCACATTCTCATTGAACACTAAATCCTGAGATTGGGTTATATACCTGAAAAATGTGGAGTCTTAGTAAATGCCAATAGCTCTAATTTAAATGATTGTATAAATTTATTAACATGCACGAAGAAATGAAGATAAAAATACCTTTCTGAATTTAAATCTATATTTGTATCTCTTGGGTTGCGGCATATATTTGCGACTTTTATTACATATTCCAGCTTTCTTGGTTGCTCCTCCACTTTGGCTGCAAGAAAAAGTGCAGCTGCTGCCATCTGGTGCCATGGGAAGTGTGTAAATGAGTGGAACACATAGAAGCGATGCATGTACACGATTGCTGTGTTGATACATAATTGTGATCTAAGCTAAAGTTAAGGAAATGCTTTCGAAAAGACAATGAAAGAAAAATAAAACAAACATAATAGTACAAAATATAAATATTTTTGAGGCATGTTCTAATACTAGTTAATTTTTGACACTACATAGTAGGACAAATTTTTTTACTATCAAATGTTATAAAAATGCTCATTTTCACAATACATTTTAAGAAAATTACGTTAAAATTTACTAATGCAGAATGAACCGTTTAGTAACAGTAAAACTGTTTTGCAAACGGTAGTCATAAGATAAAAAATACTAATGTATACACAAATAACCAAGAGAGGTCAAACAAGATGTATATGATTGATCTGAATTTTTATATATTTAGATTATTAGAATTAATTTACTGCTTTTTTTGTTGTTGCTTCACAACATTTAAGTAAGTAAAATTTGGTCCAGATTTCTATTTAACTGCCTAACTTAAGATTTATACGAATTTTTAAATGTTGGTTTAGATTTAAAATTTAATAAGTCACGTCTTTTTCATAATGGAGATGCATACACCTGAAAAAAATCTACTATCCCAATGCAACTTGAAGTTAAAATTTCATCTCAGATGTAAAACTTGATAAGCCAGTTTAAATGGAAAGACCGACATTTCCAAGGTACCTGTAAGAAATTAGCATTTTTATAGCAATCCTGGCTGGAAACTGGAATAGTTTGGAGGGTAGCTCAGTATACCGAGCTACAGCACTTAGGCCCCATTGGGTTCCTTGTGCATTCACCCAGCGAGAGATCGGCTCTCCTGAGCCGTCAACCAGCCTATCAGAAAAAAAAGTGATGACATTCCTCATGGGGATCTCTCTAATGTAGGGCATAGAAGGCCACCGTTCTTCTAGCACGGATTCTCTCGTTGACCAGACACCAGTGCACTCACAGAGTACATGGGAAACTGTCTCGTCTTCCTGCTTACAACATCTACAGAGGGGTGTTTCACACTTCCTCATATTGTAGAGGTGTTTCCTTAGCCAACAGTGTCCTGTCTGAATACTCGTCATCAGACGAAGGCTTATCCTGAACATAGTCAGGTATTTTTTGGATGTGTCTTTGTTGGGGTATCCTAATAACTCCTTAGCAAATTGGCAGCTGATTATTTAATCCCACCGTGCTCTAAACTCTTTGTGGGTGTTTTCCTCAATCATTTCAAAAAGCGCTGACAGCAAGAGCACACTGGAGGGACTGGATCCAAATATAGTAAGACCCGATGCCCTCCTAGTTAGCTTGTCAGCTTCTTTATTGCCATTGCACTGGTCGTGTCCTTTAACTGAGCATACAGATGTAGGTAGCTGAGGCCACCACCAGCGCTTGGTGGCATTCCCATACCGATCTGGACATTATTTTCCGATTATGCACGATCAGTACCGATTGTGTACTATCTGTGTAGATTTTTTGCTATTATCTGCCTACGGGCAATTTCTTTAGCAGCTATGGTTATACCTGCTAGTGCCGCTTGTATCATGGTGGCACGTACATTCATAGCCCACTGATATCGGATGTGTAGGGATCTAGAATAGATCCCACATCCTGTACTTTCTTTCCTTTTTGAACCGCCAGTGAAGATGTTATTACACCCTCACTAGCGGTCTCCTCCTCATTTTTGATGAGTACTGTGTAGGGTCTGTCAAACACAAACTGAGGAGAAATGCTAGTGTCTGCCTGTAGAGGAGGCATCTTCCTGACGGCCTCATTCCATAGATAACATTTGACTTCTCCACGTCCTACATTTGGTTTAACATCATCGTTCTTGAAGCGAAGCATAGTTGTCAGAGCCACCTCCTTTAGCAATCCTGGCTGATTTTTAACTTTTTTTAAGTTTTACATTACTCAATAATTTAATTATATCAGGTATGTATTTGTGTTTTTTTCTTTTTCATACATAGGTACTATTCTGAATACATTTTTTATTTTATATAATTAATTAATTAATTTATTTATTTAACTGGATTTGTCGAGGTTAATTTAAAAAAATTTAGTGTTTAATCAACAATATCACACATTTTGTGGCAGAAATACTCAATTAAATGTAAAAAAATAAGAAAAGATTCTATAAATTAACAATTGTAGACTATAATATAATAGTTACAACTGTAGACTAAGTAATAGTTACTGGCCTTCTATGTAGTTTTTTCTTTAGTAGGTACACCTAGATATTTGGTATGACTTCATTTATGAGAAATTCAGGAAAATATTTAAAATTAATTTGAATTAGCTTAATATCTTTCTTTCTCGACAAAAATAAAAGTTTAGGTGTAAACACATGTTCATTTTAAAGTTAATTTTGAAGACTTTAGTGTATAGATTCAGATAAATTTAAATAAACTCGAATATTTAAAGTATAAGCTTTAAATAGAAAATGCCATATTTAAATTTTTATTAGTAATTCACAATTTTTTTGTTCTGTGCCATAACCATGTCTTGTTTGAAACTATAATCCAAAACAGCTTAATAGGAAATTTTTTATTCTACAAACACTATAATATAGAGTTTATCATATAGTCTATATGATCTACTATAATCAAATTTTGGTAATTGAAAATGGGGGTAGATACAAGTAAACTATCAGGTGTCATGCTAACAGATAGTTAGAAATCTTTTCATCCTGGATTGCAACAAAAGTTAAATTCTTCTGATTCCAATGTTTCTGGGGAAAAAACTAATTTCTTTACAATGATAAATTTTTCCGAAAATATTAGATCTCTGTTTCAGTATGTCCTGCTACCTGATTTTTTTTTTATGATTTATTATTTATTAATATCAACAGTAACCTACGCCAGTTTTTTATTTGGTTTGAATAATTAAAATTCCACGAGTTTTTGCTTATTTTTCTATTTTAGCTCTGGATTTGGGTTCTGTGTCTAAGCGACAAAATATGAGTATATAAACAACAAATATTTAACCATGTATGATTAAATAAGATAAATTTAGGGGCACTTGAAGTGGCAAAATACTTAAAAAAAAAGCGGTGCTAATAATACACAGTGACTGAACAAGCTACAGCAATTCATAACTCAAGAATATTCTTAATGTATGAAATATTCTGATATAAAGAATTTCAGAATTCCGTTTATTAACAATTTATCATAACTCACCCTGTATACGCTATCCCTAATCCCCTAATCTGTTGACATTGTACAAAAGCGCGTGAATTTTTGAAAACAAGAATAAGAAGATTGCACTGAAAATTATGTAAATAATAGACTTTTATCCAACTTAACGTATTTTTTAATACAAATAAATAGTTGCAACCAGGAGCGGCTCAAGGTAAAATTTTCGAATTTCCGGTCGAAAGGGTAATTTGGCGCCCCCTCTCCCTTACAACCAAAAATTATCACGGTGGAGAATAATTAGAAAAAAATAATCGTAATAATTTTCAATTTTTACCGCCGATTTGGCCCCTCACGATGAAGCGCCCCGGACAGTCGCCCGGGCCTTAAGCCGACCCTGGGTGCAATCATATTTGTGGTTTCGATGCAAATCAGTATGTGTACCGTCTCATTCAACAAGTTGATGCTTATAATAAAAAAATAAAGTCTAGTCTAGACGATTTATTAGTAATTCCAACACAGGAAGAGATAGTTATAAAACAAAATAATTTTTTAGATATTTGTAATAATTGAAAATATTATAAAGTTTTCTATTTAAAATCTTTTCCAATATAGAATGGGAATGACATTTTCGGGTACCTACAAAAAGCTGAATGACATTATGTTAAAAAAAAATCTTTTGAGATTTAGGTTTAAAAATTACGCAAACACAATGTAAAAGATAACCTTTATTTAGTGTGTTTGGCCCTGTTCTTTTATTCATCACTTTGCTGTAAAGGATTGTGCAATGCCAATAAAAAATTCGATTTTTTTAACCAAACCAATAATAGGTAGGCTTTAATGGAATCCATCTCAATAAAATGATGGATAACCACTTTCTTTTTTTATTGATGATAACAAGTTGCTTCGACCTTCAAATTATTTTTTATTTTTAACAATGAAAAGTCTATAGGTATAAATTATGAGGTAAATAACAATAAAATTTAATGAACATAAAAAATGTAAATACTTACTTAGTACTTTTTAAATTATTAAAATTAATTTTTTTCCAAGATATTTCAAAATTAACTAATTTGATAAAGTAGGTGTGCTCTTGCTGCTAAAACGCATATTTTTGAGATAAATTGCAAAATGTCAAATCACCATAGGAAACTATTGTATAGTGTCATGAGATCAACTTATTTTTGAAAATAATTATAATTCAACTAATCATGTTACCTATCAAAGAATTAAATATTATTCACATGGTTTACCTCGAATACTTTTTGAAATTAAATTTTATTAATTTTAAACATCCTTACGAACATGTGTTTATAAGAACTTTTTTTCAGTAATAATTGTAAATAAAATACACCATTAAAATTTGGCCAAGCATCGTAGTTCCATCCTGTATAGGTACTTATGATGACGCGCCGAAAGAAGAACCTTATAACAGCAATCTTTTTAAACTTTGTCAAAATGTCTGAACTCCGACATTAATACGTAAATACTGTAAAAGTAAACTTTTACTCAAATCCCGGAAAGTATTATCACTGGAATTGTGCTGAGGAAATAATATACAAACATCTGTCAAGTGCGCAAGTGTAAAACTTGTTGAAACTTGAAATGAAAATCGGGTATAAAATAATAGATCATGAAATCATATTTCGACAATGTTAATGAGATAACTCAAGTCCGATCTCTCAAGTCGTTGCGAGTTAGACGTAATAGTCGTTCTGGCATGTTATTTATCGAAAAAAAAAGTTGAAAACTGGAAATCCGCGCCAACATGCGACAGCGAGTGCCGAAAAATAAACGAGTGTGACAAGTGTTAAATACAAATTGTAACTGCGTATTGAGTGGTAAGATAAATTAGGTAATTTGAATTTATTTTTTATACCTACTACTAAATTTAAAATATAAGTCGCGGCGTATTTACTAGCAATTTCCGCTGTCATATGTAAACTGCTCGTCTTTAAATAGACGTGTGGTGTTTGTGAATGTACGTAAATATAACTAACAATAACATTATGACAAAGTTGTATGTATTTAAAAAACACATGTATTAAAGCTTTAAATAAGTAAACAATCAGATTCCTTCTTGTGTACATTATATTGTGATTGTGTTTTCCCTTGTAGATATAGGTATATTGAAGGTTTTCCTAAGGGCAATTTAAAGTTTTTTGGAAATATGATAAAATGTTTGCAATTTTATTTACTTATTCAAAATTTTGCTTCTTAATGGACTTCTAGTGGTACTAGAATGTTTAACCACTGTTGAAAAAGAAAATGTTATCTTTCTAATATAGTGCAACTTATATAATTCTTAAAAAAAAATAATGTGACTACTTCATAAATTTCTAATTTACCCTCAGTTGCCTATTTACTATCTACTTGTCCACAATTCCAGATTTCTTACAACATATTTATGTTTTTCTTTATTATACAGGCTGATTCAAAATTCAGTACAAAGAAATTAGTGGCGTATTTTTGAGGTAAAAATAAGACTTTTTATTCCTATAAATGTGGCCCCACAAATGCTTAGTTTTCGATATACAGGGTGTCAAAGTTCTTTATTTTTTCGATTTTTTTTAGGAATAATTTCCAAATAGATTTGAATGTTCGCATAAAACTTGGAGTACGGGGGTTTTTCAGGATGCTAAATTTAAATATATCATTGCTTTTGACGCTGCTTGTAGAGAGCTTCACCTATAAGGGTATTCTTGAATTAAATTGGCCCAAAACTTTTTGCTACTCTGTACATTGACGTTTCATATTAGTGCGTTTATTCTATTAATTTTAAGCAAAAAAAGTATACATTTTTGAAATCTTGATGAAGAGTTACTTTTAGGATACCATATTTTCAAATTTTATAACTATTTAGTGAAAAATTTTAAAATTTATTTTGGACCGACGTTTATAGGGAAAAATTTTTTTATTTTGACCTCAAAAATATGCCCCTAAATTTTTTGTAGTGAATTTTGAATCAGTCTTTATATTAATTTTCTTTTACAAAACAAAACGATATAATTTATGTGGTGCTTGGCACAATTTTTCCTAAAGAATTAACATTTTTTCCTTGATTAGTACAAATTCTACATCTAGAGCAAAATTGAAAATGTTTATGGGCATTCTCAAATATTCAGTACTTTTATGTAAAAACTCATCGTTCATCTAAGTATATAAAAAATTCCTGTAATACACTCGAAAACAAATATAATGCATAGTCTAATGCAAATTCTTCCCCATGGCATGAAAGATTAATGTTTTTCCAAGTTCAATGTATATCCAAAATAATTTTAAAATGATGTAAGAAAATAATATTAACTTGTATCTAATTACGTTTCCAATAAAATTTATCTCTTCCAGTAATTATCCACCTGATACTGTATACTTGAATTTATTTCTTATATTAAAAATGTCTTCTGGAAAAATAAACACTAATTTAAAAAGCATTATAGTAATATAAAAGTTCTTAAAGTTTATAGTACAGCTATAGCTAATTGAATATATACTATTTTTTGTTCATAGTATATATTTATTAGGCCACACATTATGATTAGCAAACTTTAATTTAAAAGTAAAGGTATAAATTATTTTTTTTCTAATATCAGCAAAACCCAACCTTACGGTTGGGTTTTCTTAAAATAATAAAATACTATTACTGAAAATAAACATACACACAAATGGGTATGTACTGCAGTAGAGCAATGTTTAGAACAAATTGTAATAGAATAATTAAATAAAAAAAAATATTCAACATAAATAAAAATGTTTAATAAATATAAAACTGTTAGATATTTTCAAATTTGTTTTATTCGTTTATTTTTTTTATTTACAATGTAGGTATTTATAATACAATTAACTAACACTGCAAATTAATAATACTTGGAACAAAACATATAAAATGAGTTGAAGAAAAATGATGACCTACAACAAATTCAAAATATTTCCAAAAACGGTCCCTAAAAATTGTAGAAATAAAACGCATTAGCTATTAAAAATTACAAAATAAAATAAGGTTTTAATTAGATTAAGGTAGAGGACACCGAAGAATATGTAGATACGCAGAAATGTATTGTATCTTTAAATAGGGGGAAAACACGTCATTGCAAAATATGGCGCAATAGCTCTCAGGTGACCTATAAAATTATAACGGCAATTCACCTGTAAATTTTAGATGTTACCTGTAATAGAGATAAGGTATTTATCATCCGTTATGTTCCCAAAATTTTTTTAGAAACATAACGAAAATTGAGCAAAAGAACATGCCTCTTACATACAATCATGTCAATGACATGGTCGTCCAAAGTTTGCAAGGATAAGGATACACTTTAAGCTTCTGGCCCATGTCCTGGATAAAATTTGCGGCTTGTTGCCTGTATGAAAGTTCTTTGTGGGCATCGTAACCACATTTTCTTGACGGTGTATTTTCAAGTTGTTCTTTTGTAAAATACCATTTGTCGCTACTGCTTGGGTTAGCCATTTACACTTACACGACAAAAAGATCAATGCAGATGGCGTTGCGTGTAAAATTAAAAATCCGATTCATTTGACTAATGCAAAACAATAAATATTTCTAATATTCATAATCACTAAAGAGTTACTGAAATAACTCGCGAAATTAATACTGGCGGTCACTTATCACAATTTTTTATAATACGTGAGGGTAAATTGTTGTTGCGTCACTATTAATTTAGGGTTTCCCAGTTCGTCCACTCGTGCATACTATTATACTGTTTTATAAGGTAAATATTACTTTGTAATTGATATAACTTATTTCAAAATATGCAGTTCAGTTTTCTTAATAATTTATAATAGTTTTTAGCGACTACGAGGTAGTTTATTACTTATTAAAGATATACATACACAAAAGTCGTAGAAATTGATGTTATTCACTGTCCGATGGCCGACCAACCACAGTAAGTAACATAACAACTGTAGCACCAATTTTTTTTATCACTAAATAACTTTTTTCTTATGTTCTAAATTAGCAAATTACTAAACTAATTTCTAAAGTTATTGCACTTCAAACACACGCAAATTGTCCAAATTAGTCCTCATAACAAACTCTCAAACATCAATATAAAACATGGCCGACGGACCAGTTCCGGTACAAAAATCAGCGTGTACTATTGGTTCCCCCCTATAAAATTAGAGCGGTAATTTTAAATTTTCTACCTGCTTTAAAACTATTCCTGCAATTTCTGGGAAAGGGGCGTTTATTTTTGTGGTCCTCGTTTCAGGTATAAATTTCTTTGTTTCATTGACCTCACAACTGCAAATGCTATGTCATGACAAATAATTTTTTCAATATATATACCATAACCATACATAACCTTAAATTATGTTATTTCAGAATACAGACGCAAGCGTCTATGAAAATAAAAGCAAAAGCTCATAATATGTCCACAAAGCCAGAAAGTGATGCAGCAGCTGCTTTAAGAGCAGAATTAGAAATCGAATTGCAAAATAAAAAACAATGCTCTTATGAAACTTACGAGTGTACCCAGCTTACTTTGGATGGTTTCAAGTACTGTTCTAAACATATTCTTCAGGACAAAAATGCACCTTTTAAACAATGTTCATTCGTATACACCAACAACGGGAAAAGATGCCACTTGCCTGCACCTAGAGGAGATAAAAAAGATTATGGGTAATGAATATATCTAATATTTTTCACCACTTCAAGTTTCAAATTTGTCAAACCATTTAAAAAATATTTGAATTATAATTTCTTATCTGCTATTTCAAAATAAGGTAGTAATAATTATCCAAAATAAAAATCGTTCTTTGCATGCTATTACACATTAATTAGTATAATTATATTGTAGATATTGTAATGAACATGCCTTAAAAGCTACATTGTCAAGAAATAAACAAAATTCTAAATATCCTCCACCGAATACAGCAGAAGTTTTATTGCAGTCTTTGTCTCATTATGTTAAAAAACCACGTAATCGAGCAACATATCCACCCAATGCTCAACACACCGATGAAGGAGATAGAACAATATTAGATGATGTGGGAGAAGCAAAAGTTACTAAAAGTTTGGATCCATTCAGTATGAATTTAACATAATTATTAGCCCAAAAAGAGCACTAACGTACTTTTTTTTAGTGGATCTTGATGCCAGTAGTATTTATAACAAACAGTGCAGTGACGTTTTGGATTTTTGTAGCGAATCAGAAAGTGATGTTGAGGCATCAACATTTGCATCAGTCTGGCACGATGCCCAGGGTGACAGTTCTGATAATGAAAGTATCGATTCTGAACAAGAAGATGTATTAAAGTAGGTAAATTTTTTATCACTATTTTAGAATTAGTTATGCAATTATTGGTCAAATCGAATTATTTTATTTTATTTTAGGCATGCGAATGTTTACACAGCTGAAGAAATTACTCTAGTTACTAGAGATAAACTAATAAGGCTGCAGTCTTTATACATTGAGCAATATCGTCATTTACAGCATATGTTGAGAGAGAAAAGAAAAAAGTTTCTTCATTCTTTAAAAAGGGAAAAGGAAACATGTTGTAGGTTTATTAATTGAGAGTTTATATTACACGAACTAAATTGTTTAAAATGTGAAAGAAATTTTTTCAATGTTCAGATTTATTGTGTTTTTAGGTAATATTTATAACCAAGTTCGTGACAATCCCAAAGAACAGAGGCTATATAAGAAATTAAAGGCTTACAATAATTATCATAAAGCATATGGCGTTGATGCTATACTGAATAAAAGATTACGAGATTTAAGGGCAAAGGTATGGAGCAGTTTTACAATTGTATTAACCTTTTACACCCTGCCGTTTATAATTTCAGATTACTGACGGGGTTGCTCCCAAGGGACACAGTTATTCAAAATGTTTATTTACTGAAGGCGGAGTAAAATGTGGGGAAAGAACATTGCCTCTGGCTAGGCATTGTCGAAAACATATATTAGAGGTAAACATTTTCAAAATCTTATTCAAATTCATTGGGTTTGTTTGTGTAAGCTTTGTGGTGCAAAAATAGAAAAAAAATTAAAGAAATTATTTAATTGAAAGAAGTATCACAAATTTTCCACTTTTGTGAATTTTTTTTGTAAGGTGAAATATGACAGTAGGAAATAAATATTTTACATCAAATTAACACATCATTAAAAATGGGCCCCAATTTCAAAGTTGATTGTCTTGTCAATGGCTAATCCGATTTTGACAATTTTAAATATAATTTATAAATTATATATAATATAATATAAATTATATTATATTTTTGATTAAGGGGTAAGACCACTGTATAATTTTTTCAGAAAATATTTTTATTTTTTTTTGATTTAATAGATGTTTTGAACCTTCTAGCATAAGGAATAATTTTTTTTATTACTCGTGCAGGATAAGTCCAATCATTTCGCTTGTTTTTTAGGTTGGTAAATAATTGTTTGCCTATTTGTCTTATTTATTTGCGTGTGGTAATCATACTTGTCGCCCGCAAATTGACAATAAAACATGCAAAGTTTAAATAATCTACGCAAATATATGCTAGAACCTAGAGCATTCGTAATAAAAAATAGTATGTCCAATTCGTGCAGTTGTCTATTGCCGACTTGAGCGAATGAGCGAACTAACTTCGTGTGTTTAACTCTGCTCTCATGGGCAATAGACAACTTACCACCCTTATTGCACAATATACTATTTTTTATTTGATATTACAAACTCTCCCAAGCATGTTGGACTGCTCTGAAACAACTACCTGCGACACGTAGATACTCGTTGGAAGGGTACAAACAACCTTGCCTTTTGATTTTTAACTTCTGGAATACACTAACAGAAGTCGTTAGAAGGAGTTTGTGTTTAATTAGAAGCATTTCCAAATGAAAGTATGTTAGTATAGCGTATCTCGGTGGCGGCTCGTGACATTGAGAACAGGTGAAGCATATTCACTGATTGACTAAAAAAAAAGTGCTTCTGGTGAAAATTTTCAAGGTCAAACTGCTTTAAATGAATGGAAATTTTTAGTTGCATTTGCAATATTACCGAAAAACTGATGTTTGTGAGAGGGATCTTCATTTAGATTTTATAAAAAATAGAAATATTAGTTCGGCTTGTGGACTTCTGCAAACATTAACGCACACCATACATGTATGTTCCAAGGAAGCTTTATGGTTACGACAACCTCACGTGACGTTTCCAAAATTGTTAAATCTCTTCTTATTCCACATACCCAATTTTACACCCACAATTTAAACATGGCATACAGAAAAAATTTTTTAAATGAACACTTCCACACAACCACTAATACTCTGAATACCATTCAATACAAAACTTTCGAACGTACACGTTGTCTTTTGACTTCCCCTTTTTTCCATATCGGGAGAATAAGGCACAGGTCTCTCGCAATTTAAAAAATCCTTTATGTCCTCAATTTTCCATCTGGAAAATGGCGTTTTCAATAAAATACATTATACAAAACAAATATTAACAAAGAACCTTTATAATCGTGCACTAGGCAACGCGTATTGTATAAACTGAAACTGTTAAAGGCAGGCAACGGGTGATGTTGCTTCAATTTTTGCGTCACTCGTTCCCCCACGCCGTAGTTTAATCATGTATTGGCCGCCTCGTTGCCATGACAAGAAACAAACACAATACATTTTCAGTATAGGATTATATCTAAATTATAAAATTTATATAAAATTAAAAATAATTTTAAATTGCACAACCAAACGGAAATTTTAGGTGAAGCGGTGCGTCACTTGCGTCACCTGATGAGCCGCCACTGACGTATCTCAGAACTTTAAAGGCATTTTTCTTGAAACATGATGGTTTAAAATGGCAAGCAGCATAATTCCAATAATTTTCATTCTATTCACTCCAAATTTATAAAATAACATAAAGAGAAGTACAGATAGATATGGAATTTTCTATAAGTTGATTTTAACATTATTAGTCCAGGAAAATTAGACGAAAATAGGGCCGAACCTCGGAATTACATAAAGAAGGTTCGATTTTGATGGGACAAAGTGCGTTCTCTTCGTAATTGCATGTACATCAAAGTCTACAACATCTCATGCGGCGCTAATTTGTTTATTTATAAATAATCAATTATTATTAACAAATAATCGTATTTGGGATATTATGTGGGGTGGAAACGGCTAATCTTGATGCGGTAAAGCTCATTCTTCTTCTTATTAGTTGTACTTTAACTGTAAAGGACCCCCACCGATCTTCATTTGTTTATCGGTTTTTATTTGATTGTTATAAACAAATTAGACGTGATATCTGCGGTCGGGAGTAGGACTAGCCGATTTGGACGGGATGAACGTGGTTTTATATAGAAAGATCAAGATCATAAAGGCTCCGACTGATCTTCATTTTCAATTTATGGTCATAAGTAATTTGCACTGGCCATCTGTGGACGGGACTTGGAATTTTTGTTTCAATGTGTAAACAGTAAACAAGACGAACGTACTAGTCGAGATTATTGAAGTATATGTACTTTGAATTTTTGTGGTCAGTTTTGAGTAAGTGGTCAATTTTCAAGATGGATTGTGTAAATTCTGGTGAACGTTGCTTTATTTGTGGCAAGGACGTACCTGTTCTCATTGCAGTGGGCGAAAACGGCAAGCAAAAATTGAAACTAACCTCAATTGAGTAAAACGATGGTAATATTACGTTTCTGAATAAATCTGCCCAAATACATGTTCACACTGATTGATAACAGCCCAATTTGTATATACTAATTCATTGAAGATCAATGAACAAATGAAAGTCAGTCTGCCCTTAGTGGCCCTTAGTGGTTCTGGATTACCTTGTAATCCAAGTACGAGAAGAGCGTCAATTACCACGTGAAAATCTCCCTCTCCCAGTCCGATTGCTTAATTTGCCCTTAATGATCGAATAAAAATCAATAAACAAATGAAGCAACTAATCAGAAGAAGAATGGGCTCTACCGCATCAAAATTGGCTTTTTCCAACCCACGTAATATCCGAAATATGCTAATTTGTTAATAATAATTGACTATTAATAAATAAACAAATTAGCGCCGCATGAGACGTTGTAGACTTTGATCTACATGCAATTACGAAGAGAACGCACTTTGTCTCATCAAAATCGAACCTTCTTTATCCAATTCTGAGGTGAAATGCTAATTTTCCTGGACTATATTTATTGCCAAATGATTGTTCCTGTTTTTGTGAAAAATTGAACTTTACTTTAAATGCTCGGCAATGACAAAAATTAATCCCATATTTCTCTAGCCATACTCATGTAGATTAAGAAGAATTTTTTAATTTTTTTTCCCCGATTTAAATCTACATCAGTTACAGTGCGCCTCAAATTCAACATGCCTTGTGAGAATGCCTCCAGAGTTGTCATTTTGTACTGTTTAAGAATAAAATATATTTTTTAAAACATTTAAAGACATGTTAATAACATCTTTGAATATGATTTTCTTCCATTAAAAAAAAAAAACAAAAAACGCTTTATTTTAGAATTTTACAGCGGTGTTACCCCTTAACGATGCCAAGATAGAAGTTTTGATTGAAATTTCAGTTTTTGACATGTGCAGGGTGCAAGAAACATTAACTTTTTTCCTTAGAATTTGGAACATTCTGTACGGTGTGCTAGCTAAAATAGTAAATGTGTGTTTGAATCAAACTCCAATCTCATTTTTCTTAATCATTTCTCATTAATTAACATTAATTGAGATATAAAATTAAATTAAAATACCAGTTTATTGCAAATATTTAAAAACTTAAGACGTAACAGTAAAAAAGTGACAATATGGGTAGATAATTCAGCCCTAAGCCCTTATTTGCCTTCTGTTATGACAATGAAGACATGCTCAGGGAAATATGGAACGATACTGATCAGGAAAACATTGTCTATAAGTAAAGCTCTTATTAATAGTATCAATTGATTTTCTTTGCCTTCGTCATGGATTTTGTTCCCTCTTGACATTAATTTTTTATCATTGTTATCACTGTTATGTTAATATTCTAAATCTTTAACTGTGTACTCAAATTATTAACAATAGAGAAAATAACGTCAATCGAAAACAAATTGTTCAGAAAAAGAGTACAGTTTGATACAAGTAGATATTTACTGTCTCAACTGGAGCACTCTGACGTTCTTAGTCTAAGTTAGGAATCTTTGACATGCCTTGCCGTTCTCGGGTCAGGCTCTGTAGGGGGGAACCTGCTATTAGAAAGCCTAGATGCCCTGATGTTCACTTTGATTCTTGTTGTTGGATCTAAAGCCATCAAGCTGAGGACTCTGATGAGACTTTTGAAGAGTCACCACTGAAGATCCTGACAGTGAAGAATTGCAAAATATTTGAAAGCATTGGGTGCAACCAGTGGAAAATCTCAGAGGAATTATTGTCTGAGTTCCGTCCGTAGCGGCTTTAGAACTAACAAGAACCAAAATGAACATCATTGCGGGGCTAGGGCTTCTGACAGTGGGTCCTCCTAAGAACAAAAAGAGCAGGTCGAAAATTTCTAGCCGAGGCTAAGAAAGTGCGAAGTCTGTAACTGGTGGTAACCAGGTCTTTGCATAACCCGAAAAGCCATTGTACTCAAATATTAGCATTTGCATTGAAAGGTGTAAATCGACTATCACAACCTCTGACCTAAAATGCAAGAAGATAACAAAATTAGATTAGCCACTTGTGAAAAAAACATTTTCAATGTTTTAATCAATGTGTTCATTTTTATGTGAAATATAAATATATCATTGTTTGCTGTAAACATATTCTGATAGAAATTTCACATTGTTGCAGGATCCAAATCAGGTGTTGTTTAAAGCTTGCGGTAAAATTAATGGTGATGTGGAATGTAATACTCCAATCGAAGCCATTTTTGATGATTCAATGTGTCGTTTACACATGGATATACCACCTTTACGGTCGTATAATCAACCTAGAGTAAGTGCAATAAATACATGCTTCATCGTGGACTAGTTCAGGATGAGTTTACACATGAAGCACAAGGACAGTTCGAATTTTAGACTTTTAAATTCAAACTGCCTGTCCTTCATGGCCTTTAAACTCATCCTGAATTCGTTCAAGACCGTGACTGTGAACAAAAAGTAATATAGCAGTTGAAATTTTCAAATGCTTGATTTTAATATTTTATTTGTAGAAAGACTCTGAATCGGATCCTGATGACTCTGCCGAAGCCGTATCACATTTTCCTCTTTTTAATGAAAGTGTCAAGACCGAACTGATAGATTATAGTTTATCCCAAGAAATTCCTAAAATGGAAACGGTACCTTCCATGTTATTCGAAGAAACCCAGAGCATGGTAACGGACAGTCAAGATCAAGCAAGAAATTCCCCTCTTCCACCTGAAATGTTATTCAATGGGATGGCTGAACCCATGAATATAGTGGACGATTTATCTAACATTTCAAAATCAAATGATGAAGAAATTAAAATGGATAGTAGTCAGATAACATGCGGATATGAGCAAGAGCAGATCTCGCATAATTTGGATTTAGAAGAAAACCCCCTTTTGGATGAGAGCGAAGTTAAACCAAATTTAGAAAACAGTCAAATAAACATCGAAATGGAAAATGCGTTGGATGAATTAAGTGATACTCATGTGGAAGTTAAGCAAGATAATGAACTTGGAAGTAAGGAACTTATAGGCGATGATATAGATACGAAAGTGTCAGAGGAGAAAGATACCAGTTTGGGAGAATGTAATGAAGTTAATGCGATTCCAGAGATGGAGGATTTAAATATTGATAAATCAGAGAATTTATTAGAACAGTCTTAAAATGGACGAAAACTGAGTTATTAATAGTTTGTAGTTTTTGAATTTATGTTAAATTAAGTTTTTTACCAAGTATTTTGTTTACTATTTTCATAATAAAATTTTATATAAAAAATAAAAATTATAAAATTTAAAAGAAATTTACTGTTTTTCAGACCCCACTGTTTTAAAAATTAAATATTGTAAATATATTTTGACAAAAATATTCATGAAAGTAGGGGAATTTGATGTTTGCAACTGGAAATTTTGTGAAAGCTGGTCCTGGGTTCTTGAAAGAGAAAACTATTTGTGGTTTTGAAACCTTTATAAGAGGTTGTTGGGGGATTAAAAAACATTATGGAGTTCAGTCGAGAAAAAATTTAATGCATAAATACCAATTAGTATGTAAAAATAAATTACAGTGACCTGGATTTTTTTTTATAAGTCGGGGAAAACCTAGAAGTCGGGGAATTTTTTATTACTTTTGAACTGTGAACCCTGTTTTAGTGACACAGTAGGATCGTATTCGATGCAAAGTAGAGCAAAAAGTTGTCGGTATTTTATCAAAGGAAAGTCGTATCATTTTTAGGAGGTCATTTCAAATTTAAAATGAAATTGAACGTAAAATCTGAAACACCGCTGCATACGCACTGTGTTCTGGTAGTAGCTGTAGTAGCCCAGGTGCAGCGAGTGTACGAAGTGGTCGGTTATACGTCAAATACTAACCTAGCGAACTTGGTCGTAAATCAGAGAGCGCCTCCAAAAAACAAGTAAACAACAGGGGCATGTATAGAGGTAAAATGTAGTACATATGTGGAATTTAAAATTGATATTGGATTTATAATAAGTTACATTTAAAATAGATAGTTTATAGATATAATAAAGGAATTTTTGTAGGAACAAGGGTGGCATACGCTAACTGATCCCTTCATAATGTATAAATTATTCAATTTCTAAAACCCTTAAAAGTGTATTGCACTGGATTCCTTGACAGGCAATGATTTATTACTTTGCATCGATATGATCCTACTATAGCTAAGACAGGATTTTTATTGAAATTTCACTTTTTATCTTATAGAGTACAAGGAAAAATAAGTTCTTTCTGCCGAAAAGTACTACCGGAGCACTGGCTAAAGATTTACATAAATCAAGTTGTAGTTGTGTCTTTTATGAATTTATTTTATTTTTCTCGTGTCATCTCTTGTTCCACTTTTAAAGAGTTTTTATTTTGTTTTTGCATCTCAACGAGGATGACATGGCAAAGAGAGCCGCCGTGATGTGAAGTCTTCGTTTCTTAAATAAGCCCCTAGACATATGATACCTCGGGACACGCTATACATTGTAATATCTTTTTTTGAGCAATAAATACATCTGGTGCCAAAACAGAATTGCCATAGAAACACACACCTTACCTAAACCGGAATATCACTTGGGCGTAATATAAATTGATAGTTGATCCTTACCAAGACTTGGGTTTAAGCGTCTAAACAGCACAAACAATTTAATTCTGATATTAGTTTACTACAATGTTCTTTCCAATTCAAGCACTCATCTAATCTAAAGCCTAGAAAAGTTATCGCATTGTCTGTGTCTGACAAAGAGGTATTTTGCACTTTAAAATTATTTTAGAGCACTTTTTCTGATAGTTATGAAATCTGATAATTGATGTTTTAATAGCATTAAAATATAAATAATGAGCACCAAACTAATTACCTACTTCCTGGAGTTACATTTTTTCTCCGATGCCTCATGCGTTTTTTCTGATATAAGTAATGAAGTGTTATCAGAATACATAACAAGGCCGCCATCATTAACATAATGCGAAAGATCAATAGAATTGGCCCCAATATTAAAACCTGTGGTACCCCTGTGCATATTTCTCTATATTCCGAATTTACTCTTGGTAGAACCCAAGTGGGAACTAGTCAAACTACCGTATTGAAATCTTTAAATATGAAGACGCCCGGTCATCCATTACTCCTCTTACACAATAGTGAAACAGTTTTAACAACTTATTGTGGTCAACACAGTCGAAAGCCCTGGTGAGATCGCAAAATATCCCAACAGGGCTCTCTATCCTGCCTCCACATACTCGACAAGCCTCCCATATAGTAAAAATAAAGCTATGTCAGTTGATTTACCCACATGAAATCCATGCTGTCTCTGTCAAAATCTCATACTTAATGATGAATTTCAAGAGTCTGTCTTCAAAGCAGTATTCGAATATTTTAGAGAAACATGATGGAATCGACACTGGTCTGTAATTCTCTACAGGCCGTTACAAATTCACTTCCCACTACCGAGATCTCGAAAACAGTAAGAGATACAAACTAGCTTATATGGGGGCAAAGTTGCATAATCAGGGAACCAACATTATGCCTATAAAAAATCAAGGCTAATATGATTAGTTTTCGAAATATTTGAAAAAAAAACGAAATTTTGGAAATCAGCTTTTGTTTCAATTCAGCCTTGTTTGAGGTGATGCTGAAAAAAGAAGAACACTTTCTCATGACCACTTTTTGCCCTCTATCGAATAGCATAATCAATTTTTATATGTAATGTTTCCTCTTCAGGACCATCATCAACTTCGTTTTTTTAAATACGACCCTTGAAATTTTATTACATTTTTTGCAAGCCTTCATGACCCTCATACTGTACTGGCTCGGCCCGAACCAGATTCAGATGTTTTGTCTTGAAAAATTCATCTTCAGTGCATTTGTTTCAAATTTATCTAAATTTTTTTAGATTTCTTTGTTTATTGTATTATCGTACACTCTAAGTGTCGTTAGGCCCTGTGAAATCCATCTAGTTATTTAAACTATTACCACCACGTATTAAAATAAAAAATTATTATAGTTTTATTCCCGTGTCCATAGTAATTTCTAGGCTTTTCGAGTGCTCAAAATTCAAACAAATACCGATCTATATTTTCAGGATATTCATACAAATACATCTAACATGCTCTTTCACAGCTGCGGTTACAGATATAATAAATTACTTTAGATGCAAGGTTAATTTTAATAAGCTTTTTTTTTTACAGAAAAGACCCACCTACACAACATACAACCTTTACGATTATACAAATTTGAAAAACAGAAATTTTTATTTACACCTTGCTATATACAGATATAAATTTTCATTTTTTTGATTTTGCTGTGTTTTCTCCACGTCTCCTTTTATTTAAAGGATTTCTGGGATCGTAAATTTCAAACCAGTCATCATCTTTTGTATTTGCGTCCTTTGCCAAAGTTGGATTGTCATCCTGGAACTTCAGTTTGTGAGACAACCTAAAATGATAGTGCTCTAGATAAAAAAAAGAAGTTTTCATATTTATTAAGTATCACCATGTTTCTTCATTATCGATATCATCATCCTTTTTTTCTTCTTCCCTTTCTTCAGGTTCTTTTTCTTTAGCAGAGTGCAACTTTTTTTTGAACTTCTCTAATAAATCCAAAGTAAATTTTTCTCTGCCTGATCCTTTTTTGGGTAACTGCTCTTTTTTGTTTTTATATTTATCATACTCCTCTTTGTAAGCTTTGAATGTTTCACTTTTGACTTCCTCTTCTTTGACTTCCTGTGTTTTGATTTCTTCTTTTTTTAGTTTATTCTTGTGGTAGTCTTTTTTAAGGCTCTGTATTTCCTGTTTAATCTCTTCCCTAAAAATATTAAACACGTAACTTATATATTGTTTGATATAATTTTCATTATGTAAGTAATTAGATAATTTCTATCCAATACTAACTACTAACAAATAACAAACACTATATTTACTTTACTTACATTTTCTTTTTCCGTTCCAAGTCCCTATCTTTATGTAAGTAGTATTCAAGATCTTCGTCATCGTCTTTACTAGATACGGGTACAGATGAAACGTTATGTTTCTTATGAGTAGTTTTCAATTTTTTTCTAATATTTTCTAGTTGTTCTTCAGGATTTTCCGTTTCTTCATCTTCTTTGTCCGAAGAAGGAATTTCAGTTTGTGAACTTAATTTTGGATCATCTATACAAAAAAAAGAAAAGGATAATTTATGTGGAAGTATAAGAAACATGACAATTGACATGTTCGAAAAAAATTACCTAAGACATCGTGAGTTGATTTTCCTTTTTTTATATATTTTTCATTTTCTCTTGTTGATTCTTCTTCATCTTCTTCGGCTTCCTCACCAAAAGAAAGCAACTTGAAATTCCTTAAAAATTAACCGTATTTGGATTTCTTATAATTTTATTTGATAAATACATACTTTACACCAGCCTTTTTCTCTTTTTTTTTCTTCTCCTTGACTTCTATATCTTTTACGCGGGGTTCTATATCAGAAAAAGGGTTATGTAAAACCTCAGTTTTTAAAATTTTATGTGGATAAACTGGTCTTTCATCCTCAATTAGCCCATCTTCAAGTTTAAGCATATTGAATAAAGTGTCTCCAGTAACTTTTCCAAATAAAGAGTGTTTATTTTGCAACTCGGGTGTAGGGCCAAGAGTAAAAAAAAATTGAGATCCATTATCATCCTTATCTGAATTTGCCATAGCCAGCAAACCCCTCCTGGAGAACCGAAGTCGTTGATGAAATTCATCTTTAAATGGTTCTCCATAAATAGATTCGCCTCCTGTACCATCCCCATTTGGATCTCCTCCTTGCACAATAAAACCTTTTACCACTCTGTGAAAAATCGTATCGTTATAATAACCTTCTAAACAGAGCTGTATGAAATTTCTACATGTTTTTGGTGTTTCTTTTGCCCAGAGTTCTATGTCAATATCTCCCACTGTTGTTTTCAGTAAAACCTACAATGTATTTGTTATTAATTTCTTTTTATTTTTTTTTCTCTTACCTTTCCGGAGGTCTGGGGCTCCAATATATAAACATTACTCATAGTATTTTATTTTGTGCTCGTTTCTTATGGTATTTCTTGTTTTCTTTACAATAAATTATTTAATCTAAAATAAATTATAGGTTAGGAAAAGATTTACAAAAATTTACAGAAAACAATATGATCACGTTCAGTGATAAAGGATTTCGGTCTGCGAGTGCGTTCATTATGTTACACAAATATTAGCGTAAACACTATTGTTTAAAAATCGAATAATACATATTTTTATAGTTATTTGGAGATTTGAAGAGATGTTTTATTGTGATTTTAAATATATACTTAATTACTGTTTAATACAAATTAACCATAGTTGTGCAAAAAGCCAAACTTACAGCTGTATTGATGTGTATTGTAGAGCACACAATCAACTTTTTAAGAGTATCGTTAAATTATCACTTTTTGAATGCTAAGAATTAAAAATTAAAAAATTAATTGTAATTTTTAGTCTATTCTATTCTAATTTTTACTTTATTCTATTCGTCGATTTATGTGACAATTTATAATTTTATTTCTTTCTCAAGAAATGAACTGGAATTTTTAAATTTATATCCTAATACCTATTTAACAATGAATCAAATAACAATATTAATTAAAATAACATCCACTCTGTATATTCAATGTAGAAGTTAATATGTAATAGGAAATTTCTTACAAAAATTAAATAAATACTTATTTGTTTTATTATACTTATTTACTGATACAGAAAATACAACGATTCAGCTATATTCAAAGGTTATGATTACTTTAACAATCTGAAATCGATAGAAATGTACTTTTTATCCTCTCACGGTTATCATTTAATTGGTTATTTACATTAGCTAGAAATAAAATGTTAATGAAGCTAGGAACAACATATACAAATATTGAATAATCTTGATAGTCGTGCTTTATATTTTCTATTTTGAGAGCCGCAGACAATAAAATTGGGACTGAAACGGAGCATATTTACGAATCTCGTCTTAGCGAGATAATAACAAATAGTTTACAACTGACGATAAGATTTTCTTAATATTTGCGTACTTAGATGTTGTGTAGACAGTTCAATTTTAACATTGAAATAATTTTCTGAGTGTATTGGCAGATAAGTTCAAGTGAAGATGATTGACAGAATTACGGAATCGATCGAAGGTGAGCTTGTAACTCGCATCTAATTAATCCCTTTGTTTGAATTTTTGTGGCACTGAATTTTTACAATGTGCAACCTTAACAGACTTGTCGTGCATGTATTTCAGAGACACAGGTTTGTTTCGAGCCTATTATTATATCCATTATCTCGTTCTTGAATTAAATATAATGTGGAGCTGTGGACTAATAATTTATCCACGTTTAAAAAATTCTGTCTAGGTTATTTACCCGGGAAATGCTAACCAAAATAAAAATAAATAAATTTTTTTTATCCGCACGCGCACAAATTTTTATGAGAGTTAGATTCCAGTTTTTGTATTAGAACATTTATTAATTGAATGTGCTTTTATAACACTAAGGTTCATTTGTACTATTATTATTTAAATTTTAAGTTAAGTACCTACCTAAGTATGTTTAAACTGCAAATTAATTTTCAGAAAAGATTTTTTAGTTATAAAGAAGTACAAGTAGTAGGTATTGGTGCAATAACTGGCCTAAAATAATTTAAGTCAAATAAATATTTTTAGAAACAGTATGTACCTATTTGTATTTACTATTCATTGTCAATAATGTCAATGAGATACTATCAATATATTAAAACATCATTCGTTTTCTAAGAAAACCCGGAATAATGAAGAATTTTAATAATCAGTGGGCTTAAATTAACTGTAAACTAATTTTCATAATTGCTACCTTGGAGTATACAAAAGTTTACTAGAAAGTTTAAAATAGATTTGCTTTCTCCAAAGAAGCATTGAAAACATGTGGAACACATAGAATTGATAATTAAATTAATTACAGTTTAAAATTTAAGCGTTGGTACTTAGGGCAATGCATGTTTAACAAAAAGGGAATATGTATAATGTATAGGATGTTTTTATTTAAAATGAGATTCGAAATGAAAGAATAATACCGTTTAAACACGGGAACAATACATATTTAAGTAATACAATTAACTTTTGTGTACAATTTTAAATTTGTTCTGTTAAAATTTAGACACCGATTAAATAATATCACTCTGTGAATGATATGAATCATTCATATATAGAAATATTTGTTTATAAACTAAATATATTTATTACTTTTAAAACTACATAGGTAGTTGATATTCTCAACACCGTGCTTGTTTTTTCAAACACTTGTTCCAATTTTTGTTTGGCGGCTTTTAACAAATTCACTACAAACTTTGATATTTAATATTGTAAATAAAATAGCATTTATCGATGTTATAATCAGGTGATTCTTATTAAAAATCATCAATATCAATATGTAGTATATTATAATACAGGTATACAGTTTTTAAATTTAATATCATAAAACAATATAAATAAATGTTTGATATAACACTCAAATAATAAGGGAAAATAACGATAGTCGCTATCGCAATAACAAATAAGTAATTGTGTGAAACTGTATTTATTATTTAGAAAGCCAATTCAATGCGGTAAGAAAAATAGAAATTAAAGCATTTAATATCTTTTATTGCTTATAGGGTGTTCTACAAAAGTTGTGACCACAAAACATGCGGTCCGATAAACATTTTTTAAAATTACTAAAACTGTTTTAGCTAGAGACGTCTTATTTGGTACACGTATCATATTTTTTTGGGTTCTCTATTTAGACCACCTAATTATTTATACACCAATTACTACAATTTCTAATATAGAATACCTACTTTTCTAAAGAATTTATGAGCCCTGTGAAATTTTTATGTTTCCTATGATTTCCTGATTCTAATTTTATTCTATTCAGCATATTGGATGTATTTGGGATTGAATGAAAAAATTATTAATTTATTTCATATTAAATAAACTTTGACGATTGATTTGAAAAGGCAATAGTGTTGAGAAACCGCATAAGTTTTTATTTAACCACATTGCTCTTAGGAATTGCAAAATCTTATTTGCATGTCACTAATGTCAGTTACCCTCAATAATACGATTTGACTAATAAAAATTCCGCTAATTTAATACCTAAATCACTATAACTTTATAATGCATTAATAAATGAATAAAACTTTGTTACCCCCATATTCTGATAAGGTATCATTGCTATTATTGGTACATTACGTTGTTACAATATTCCGCTGTTAATATTTCTGAAATTGATATTAATTTAATTTGAATTGTATTACTGACATTTTTATTTAAAAAAAGTAAGGGTGAATTAAAAATCTGTCGGTCTTTTAGGTTTAAAAGCTTAACAAGGCACATATTTTTTTTTGGCAGCCACACATTAACGATAAATTCTAAAGCTTTATTTGTACGGGGTGGAAGATTATTTAAGCCATGCGTTTGTAAAAAATCATAGCGATATTTAAATGTACATTGTTATTTGAGAAATATATTTCGTCCGTCTCGCGGAGATCACTATACAGGCTGTTACAAATTCGCTTAAATGTAGCTTAAATGGGGACAAATTTGCATAATCAGGGGACCAACATTTTGGAAATCCGATTTTGTTTCATTTCAGCCCTGTTTCAGGTAATATTGAAAAAAAAGAGTAATTTCACTTGACAACTTTTTGCCCTCTATCTAATGGCATAATTTTTATATGTAACGTTACGTCTCTCCAGGACCATCATCAACTTCTTTCTTTTTTAAAATACAACCCTGGACATTTTATTACAATTTTTTGCTGGCCTTCGTGACCCCCAATACTGTATTGTTTCGTTCCTTTATCTAAATTTTTTATTTAGATTTCGATGTTCATTGAATTATCGTATACTCTAAGTGTCGTTAGACCCTGTGAAATCCACCTATATAGTTATTTAAAATTTCACCATCACACGTTACAATAAAACATTATACTCTGTATCTCCGCCACTGGAACATCATAATTTGAGGAAAAGCTCTCAGATTTTGGACAATGTTTACATAAATAGATGTGCCCAATTTCAAATTATTTGACTTACTAGTTTTTAAATGATTTAAAAAAATTAAAAATATTTTTTGAAGTTAACACCCTGTATCTTTTTAACGAAGCGTCCTTAAAATTCACCAAAGAATACGAGGTTTCGTTTTTGGTTATCATTTGTGAATCACCCTGTATATTGATTTGAAACAAAAATAATGTCTCAGACATTAAGATTTGGAATTATTTGAAGCGTTGTATTAAATGTTTTTGGACATTAATGTTCTAGACTGATGCTAAGGACAAATACAAAATAACGTGACGTTCCATTCATGTATGTACCTATTCTAATTAAAACCAGTATTCAAACGAATGTCTGAAGTAACTAAAAATAACTCATAGGTAGTTCAAATTTTCCTTCAAAATGTTGTTTTTATTGTATTTGAGATGCTATCAAAGTAAAATTGAGAGTGTAACAGTAAAAAAAATTTCAGGCTCGATATCAATGATGAACTCGGCTCTTTCTAATCTGCACAATTATTTTTAATTGATATTGTTTAATCCCTAAGTAAATATTTACGCAATATATGTACCATATCTATATCTTAGATCCATTGAATAAAAAATAACTATGTTCATCGAGTTAATTTGGGTTGATTAAAACGACTGACAGTTTGTCTAAGAAGGTTATGTGTCGATAACACTTCAAATTTTGAAACAGTAATAGACCGGGACCACGTGACAGAAAAAAGAAAAAAATTTTTTTACAAGCTGTCATTGGAAAGGAAACCTTTTTTATCACATGGTCCCCTAAGAAGAAATATATAACGATAGTGAATATTGTATATCAATTCTATAGATTAGACTATAGTTAAAGGATTAAATGACGATTAAATGCATTATAATTCAATTCATTCATTTATTTGATATCAATTTTTACATGGTGGTTCAGGGTTCAGGATTTAATTGGAGAACTTTAGCAGGTGATGGGACAAAATGTTTAATATGCGCAACGCTTCATTTTCGAGATACAGGATGTTGAAATAAAAAAACATCACATTTTCTGAAATATCGTACCTAATGTGTTTTTTATTTTATTATAAGATTTTTTTATTTTTGATTTATTTTATTTATGTGGTAAACACATTTTTTTATAAAAAAATCATAATAATTAATTTAAGCAGTTCCTATGAATATGGAAAAGGGGATATCTGACAAAAACAACAGCAGTTTTGCACTGTACTGGAATAGCTGTACTATTTTATTCAAACCGCGTTGCTCTAACTGTATCATTAGTGGAGATATCCAATTGAATTAATTGTAATGTTACATTTCTATATTGTATAATAAATATTATTAGATTAAATGATTAATGTAATTAATTAATTTATTGTTATTACTATGGGGTTTTTAAAGCTTATACGATTTGTTATTCAATATTGTTGTGAAAGGTTCGAGGACTTAAGGTCTTTTGTTGAAAGATTTCATCGGCAATATATTGGAGTAAATATTTTTTTTTTGCGATTGATTCTAATGTCGGGGCCTTAGGCCCGGTCCTATTAGGCCTTTGCGTAAAGACGGCCCTGCAGCTGTTACAAATTTCGAAAAAGATAGTTCTGGTGAAAATAGTACCATTTCGTTGTGCTCGAACTACCTCGCTCTTGTTGCTCTAGTTGCGGATATATCTACCTTAATTGCACCAGTTGCTGTAGGTGCCAGCGCCTGTAGTGCCGAATTTAATTAGTTTAAGCAGATTGCAGGAATTTTGGAAAACGGGTTCTGGTGGAAATAGCAGCAACAAAAAGATTGTTTCGCTCATAGCTGGGAACAGCGAGAATTAGATTTTTAAATTTAAGCGTTCTGCGTTTTATGCATACACTGGTGAAGTGTTTTTCATACTTCAACCCATGACGACAACCTTCACAACCTACAATGCCCACTTGAATCAATTCGAGGACAATTCAAACTGTGTACATAATTACCAAATTATATTCAATTTAATCGGATATATTTAGATGCTTCCTTTTGTACTTAACACTACCGATTGAGGGCTTTCCGTTCATTTCAACAAGCCGTGTTCATTTTAAATGTTTCCTCGCTAGCAAGAATTCTCCTGGAATGTGCTGGAAGGTGTTCGACAAGGGAAATAGAACATTCTGACTCAACTAATTAATTATATAAGTATACACGATTGCTTGTCGTAATTTGGTTCAACATGTACGCACCGAGAAAACACTGAACATATTGATACAGGGTGTATGTAAAAAGTGTATAAAAAACAAAATAAACAAATTAAAGGCAAAGTGTACTCCAAAAAAATAAAAATGAATTCTTACGAACATATGTAACCTACGTCTGAAAACGATTCAGTTTTGAAATAAAGGGTACTAGTTTTCGTGAAAAATATCTGTTTTTATTTATATCTTCCAATCAGGTTCACCAAAATAAGTTGTAAGAGATAGACGAAACAAAGGCTGTCGTTTTTCGCGTTTGTTGACTTAACAGTAGAACTCAATTGTTCAATTAATTACAAAATATCATAGAGGAGGCGAGAAGTCGGAAAATGGCAGCATATTTTCTTAAATTTATGGGTTTAATATCTACACCAATTTAAATTTCATACAGGGCGATATGGTATCTATTGGACGATTTGGCGATGATAAATGAGCTAATTCAAAGGTGGAGATATAGGTACAATAACATTTTCGGAGAGAGCGAGGTAAATTAAGAAAAAACTATTATCTTTTTTCCATAGGACGCAGCGTTTTCGAGAAAAGTGCAAAATGTGATTTTAAAACCATTCTTGACAGTATGATCAGAAGACCAGAAAACTTGATGACACTTCTTATAAAACAAAATTTGACTTTTTGTCTCAATAAATGATTATTATTAATATCTTCGGAAAAGAAATATAGAATATTTAAATTTTACGAGATAATTTTTGTAGTGTGTTCCTATAAAATTATTTTGTCTTTGTTTTCATAAGTAAAAATGATTCATTATTAATAAAGCTCGGGGTTTTCGTCGGCTAGTCGCCGTAAACAAATAAATAAACAGGTTAAAGGTTAGATCTACTTTGGTCTTTATTGTTTGCTTTTGTTACAAAGTTATTTAATAACAGATACCATTGTACGCCAATGCAGAAATGACAGACATACATTTTATATATGGACGTGCTAATCAAATTACTGATCATAGCGTTAAATGCACTTGGGCAGAAAATGGTGTGTATTAGTGTACTGATGGTTTCTGGTAAATAAGCCCCCACGAGTGGTTTGACGTATGAACACCCTCTAGGTCTAGGTGGACCCGCAGTGGTCTTTGCATTGAATTCTGAAATTTTACCTCCTCGAAAAACATCCATCTTGGAATGGTGGCCATTTCGGAAGGGTTATCGACCTGTAACTAAGTTTAGTAAATCATGGAAATGTTTTATTTTCCAAAAATTCGGAATTGAGTTGACAAATTTTCGTGTGCTTGTTCGCTGTCGGCGGTACTTATATCAGCGGGCGGTAGTGTACTTTCCCAGCATCGTCTACTACTGCTTGGCAGCAATCGAGCCTTCACATCGTAGGGAAATTTTGGGAAAATTTCAAAACATAGGTGAAATTTTAGTTTCTCGCTCTGCACCTTCCGATGTGCATAGTGGGTCGTATGTGATCCCTTACGTATGATTACATACTTTTGGTGGTATTTGTGCCCCGTGAATGGGTTTTGGAAGGTTTCATGAACTGAATTGGAAACTGGAGTGAATTTTCCAATACGGACTCGAAGAATAGGTCGGAAAAAGTAAACTCTTACTAGATATATTTACTAATGCTTATATGTATTATTAAACAGAAATTTGCGTTTGGAAAAATAATTATCTGGAATTCTAGTAACAACCATACCATTCCAGTTCTCCCAAATATTTTGACACAAGAATAAATATTCTATTGGTCTATTCAAAATAAATTTGAATATTTGTTCAGCACAACACAAAATAGCGCGATTAAAGTATTACACGATTTCCTAAGTCGGTGTGGAGGTACCAATTTTTGGGATATCGTTACCTACTCAGTGAGAACACGAACGTTAAAATTACGTTTTTTAATACCTTAACCTTTAGTCAACAATATGAGTATTTCTAATTTATTACATGATCTTGCAAATCGTATTTTCGGCATACTTAAATTTGTATTATAAACAAACTGACGGTCTTGGAATGGGTAATCCATTAGCACCTTTACTCTAGAATATGGTATTTGAGTATTTGGAATAGATTTTTTTTTTCGAATGTAAATATTCATAAAAATAGAATTTGGTATTGGTACAGATATGCCTATGATATACTAATGTGTTGAAATAGTAATTAGGTTGAATTGAATGAGCTAAAAATAATAGTTTAATTATAATAATTTTCAAGTTAATATTAAATTTACTTTGGAACATTTTCAAAACTTAATAATTCACAAAAATTTCACTGTAAATGACACTTTAAAATAACTATATTTACTGCAAGAACACCTTAATATTTTGAAATAATATATGCAAGATGGTGCACCACCCCATTTCAGCAGGGCAGTAAGGGCTTATTTGCCAGTAATGGGTTAAGGCAGTAAATATAGGTATTTACCCCCATATAAAGTGCATCAATGATATATGGTCCCACTAACTAACTACTTCCAATTATTCCCATTAATGATAAATTTTTGTTGGTGTTTTGTCTCAATAATAGCATGGGAGTTTTCGTCACTTCAAATATGCGAATTCTATTTGGAAAGCGGTTGGGGTAAATTCGAACAGCTTCAGAACATTCTGCAAGTTCATATATAGTTCATAGTATAGCTAAAATCCTCCATAATATCGAATCAACAAATGATGTCAAAATGATTTATTACAAAAATCTAAACTGCTAATTCATACATACTTGTTGACAATCATCCCAATTTCCGAAGAAACCAGATTTTTACAAAAATGTTAATATCGCACTTTTGATACAATAAATTATGCTGTTAATAAAATTCGATTTTCTCAATAATCGGTACCAGATATCGACCGATATATGGTATACCTTTTTTTAGCAAAGTGAGAGAGGAATAGACTATGAAAGAAAAATGCCAAATTTGGCAACGCTGTTAAATATGTATAAATTTAAATGGATAATTTCGTCTGCTCCTGTATAATCCAGGCATATTAACTATCAGTTTAAACTTGGAAATGAGTTACTTTAATTGCCCAAATTTCATTGTTGTCATGGTATCGACTTCGAAGTTACAATTGGAATTTGTTTCTCAAACTTCTTTCTTTGAAGGCGAATAACTCCATAACGAAGCCTGATAGGATTTTTTTTATGAAGTACCACAACTATTTTGACCTCCCATGTATATCCCTTCATTTTTGACATGACCTTCCCAGACACCCTGTATATTTTCAATCAATTCAAGCAATGCTGCTTTTGACACATCGTTGTGTTACATCCCGTACAACAGCAAATCTTGAAAAAAAAAATATATTGAAGGTGAGCTTCATAATGGTTTTCTTGTTTCAGAGTTTCCATTGCAGGGTCAGGGCAACTACATAAAAAAACCCAGGACTTTAAAAGGTCCCTTTCGAGTCATTCGACTATGTATCCTTGGCATATTTACCCCGGCATTGCTATTGGGCCTTCCCCTGTATATGAGGTATCGGGTCTACGGTCATCAACTTTACCCTCTTGCCATGTCAGATATGAGAATGTTAGACAGCAAGGTTTCCACCACTTGGTGCCAGGTAAGTTTCCTAAATATGTTAGCACATCAAGCATATGGTGTTGGTGTTAACTAAGAAAAGATCTAAAGTAGGTACCTACATTTAAAGCACTGCCAAGCTGATATATTTAATAAAAGTGGCGAGATTTTTTTATAAACAATATTTAGTTCCTTCTTAATAATAATTCGAAATCAAAATTCCTTTTCGGATCCATATAAGCTCCAAAAGCTGCAAATTTTTGTGATAAATAAACTTGAAATCAATCGGCACACATAATAAATAAAATTGAAGTTATCTTTTATCAAGAATATTTTTATAGTCGCTCGTTAAGCAATTTATCAATTTTTTTCTCTTTATTTGATTATTTTATCATTAGCAAAAATAAAAATATAATAATAATAATAATAATAATAATAATAATAATAATAGAGTGTTATCTTAT